GACAAAATTTACGATACGATTAACTTTTTATCGGGTGTGATTTTTGTGTCGGCATGCTAATTAATGTTATTGATATGTTAGAGGAAGATTAAGCTATTTGTCACATCAAATCTCAATTTTCCAATCTTCTAATTTGATTCATAATCATAAAAAATTCCCTTTAAGAATGCCATGTGTTATTGGTGATTGCTACTGCTTAACGGTGGTATATACTATATAGATGACATATGAGGTGAAGAGCTTCTGAAGTTCGAGCCTTGTGGCGTTGGTTAGAACCGATTTGTAAATTAAAAACAACTTAAAATAAGCATATAAATAAATTTAGACCTAAACCAAATTATTAAGCTAGTTTTTAATGTAACACGTTTGTTCTTTGCAAAGATTGGTTCCCTTCTATGCCAAAAAATAAAAAAATTGGTTCTCTTATTTCTCAATTTGCATGATGAATGAATTGGTCCAACACCACATAAAAATTAAAAAGAAATGGTCTTATCCACGATGACTTAAATTGACGTCTTTTAGAATTGAATTTAGGTTGGATATGTGGAGTGAGCATTATGTGCTGGTATAACAGTTTGTCGGGACGAGGATGTGAATGACAATCGTAAATCTCACCTGGTATGGAAGGAGTCTGGATTTAGAGATTGAAAATGAGGAAGATAATATATTTAGAGCAATCGTGAATCGTTCCTCTCTGCTATAGGCTATAGCTGGATTATATAAAAAATCTAAAATGATCATTAAAATATGTAAAAGAAATTAGTAGGAACGATAATAATTATTATAAGGATAGAAATCAATAAATTAAAGAAAATAACAATTACTCTCAATCGACGGTAATTTGATTTCGAAAATTAGAAATATTGCACTATATAGATAAAACTAAATGAAATTGAAAATCGATATAGACATAAATGAATGAGATTGAAAATCGAGACACGAAAAAGAGGATAAAGAAGTAGCTGTTATGAAACTAATGAAAATATAAACAACTACAAGAGAAGATTAGAGAGGGGAAGGGTTCTTCTTATTCATTCTTCACTTTTGATACAATGGTGTGCTATATTTATAGGCACACTTTGGTAACCACTAGATCAATGCATATGAATGAGAGATAATGATGTAGAAATAGGGGTTACATATAACTTCCAAGTGAGCATCTAATGTGGTAGGTCATTGGTCATCCATATATCAATATTTACATAATACTCCCCCTTGGATGACCACTAGATTGCATTATGCTATCTCATACTGCCTCGTTAAAAACCTTACCAGGAAAACCCATTGGGAAAAAATCATGGTTAAGGGAAAAAGAGTGCAGTGCGTATATGCTCCCCCTCATGACCACATCACTTCAGATTATTGAGTCGTTGAACTCAAATTTCACGAACAACTTTTAGAAAGATTGTTGTCGGGAGTGAGTTAGTGAACAATCTTCTAGATTGTCAATTTGATGTATGATCTTTAGATTTTCTTCATACATGATCGTCAGGATCATTTCCTTTAGAAATAGTTTACAACCATAAGTCCTTTAGATATGGTGAATCACAAAGTGTAACGAAATACATTCAGGACTTGCCTACTATAGTTTGTTTTGGATATCTATGGAACAATCACATCACCATATGTAAGAGATAGCTCTTCTCTGATCAACCAATATGAGGATCAAATAATATATCGGATTTGGATATATAGTTCACCAAATCTCTCTTTGATAGTACCATAATAGAACAATCACATATATTGTTCCCTGAGGTAACAAAGTATTTTCCAACGTTCTAATGAGGGAAACATTGTATCTTGCCAATATTATCAACACCAAAATGATAGTTTATATGGTGTTTGGCTAGCAAGGTGCATTGGTGCTCTAATGCATCAACATATGGTACTTCAGGACCTAATGTTTCACTTATTTCTAGATTTCTAAATGGATCTTTGGTCACTTCTAGTGATCTTAGGATTCTAATGTTATTTGATGAACACAATTCGTTCATGCAAAATTACTTTTCCACTTTTTCAACATTACCTTCCTTGCCCATAAAAAGGATCTTAAATCCTTCAATTTAACTTATGTCTCTAAGCAATCAACATCTTTAGGAAGCTCTTCAGGAGCTCCAATAATATACTCATATCAACATAATATGAGATCGTCACAAAAAAAAAACTTCACTAAAACAAATTGAAGCAAACAATTCTTTCATATCACGAAAGATATTAACAAAACACACATCATAGAAACATATGAACTAGACAAAGCACACTCATAAAACACAACTCATACTTTAAAGTAAATCACAACTCATAAATTAAAAATTTAAAATCCTTGAAACACATACAGACAACACAACTATATATGCACAATGCAAATACTGGTATGCACTCTATCTGAATTTAACCTTTTAAGGTCCATTCACCCTACTGTTATAGTTGTTCACTTAGATGAGTATTTCACATTCGTCTATATTGTCTCAACCCACACAAGGGATTTTCTTAGTCTATCTATATATGTTCTCGAGAACTTTACTTGTTTACTTCAGGTAAATTAATCCTTTTAGGAGTAATTAATCCTTCTGGGAGTTTCAAATATATTTAACATCTTCAAGGAATTTAAACAAATATGCTATCACAACAATTTTCAAACATTGATTTGAAAAAGTAGTTGCATCCACCGGGGAGTATAACTCCTCTTAAACAATGATAGGTCTCTTCGAGAAACCATTGCAAAACATTGTGCTATATCTCTTACAATTTCATACTTTCCAATAGGACAAAAATTTGTTTGTATCCCGCTAGTTTTGCCCTTTTTTAGGTGCAAGGACTTCTGGTCCTTAAACTTTATGCTCCTTGAGCAAGTTTCATGATTTCTTTCTATATTGGCCAATAACATCATCATTTGCATGCATCAATAGAGTTGTACTCTTGATCTTCACTTGTATATATCATATTCAGTACTGAAGTACAACAATTTTCGTCGACAATGACTTCATTACAATTCCAGTATTGTAGTCCAATATGTTTTGAGTCTCTTCGCTTTCACAGCTTTCAGACACATGTGTTCTTCTGTAACTAAAATTATATTTTATTCTTGATTACTCTTCTTGAGTTTTCATGTCCTCGAGTTGACCATTCTAATTACAACTCCTTTTCTTTCTCGAGGATGTTTATCATTGGAACCGATTCGTCTATCACGCTTCATGCGCTCTTTCATACACATTTTTTTTATAATAGAGTATCCAACAAAGATATCAAATTTAGTTGGAGCATTCACAGCTAGTATATATGACTTGGACACTTTGTATGGTCAGTAAAGACATTTGATAGTTGGTAATGATAATTCATCTTATGAACTTCAGGTTCATGTTTCTTAATTTGAAGATCAATACTAGATATAATGATAACTCATTCCAACTCATATTTTTGTCTAGCTGTTTTTTTTTCTCCCCCTTAATGTTGGAAAAGTAATCCATCAAAACAATAATTTCGCAAACAAATTTCCCATTTGGGATTCATACCCAACACAAATTCTCAATTTCCAACGAGAATCAACTTAAGATACTGTGGTGGAGCAATTGGGATGTATGCGGCACACCCTAGTATTCTCATATGAGAAATGTTAGGTTTCTTACAAAAACCAAAAGGGGGGAATTTATGATAACTTGTTGGTTAGATGTGAACCAATACTATCACTTGTCAGCTAGCATGTCCTCGACAAGAGACCAGATGACTCAGTTTGTTCTCTTAAGCAAAGTGATGTTTGCTGGATAACCATCAAAATGTATCCATAGTGAGACAACCAATCTCGCAAACATCGGGTTGCGATTAGATAAAATACATTTGATGCAGCAACCCATAAAATTCACAAATGATCCACATGACTGATGCATTGTTCTGCATACACGTCCATAAAATCTCAAGAGATTTGTCAACTCTTATACAAGCGATGATCAATTGTTCTATTCTCCTTGAGAACAAACATGACATAATAACTCTTTTAGTTGAAGAGTTCTTTGACTTCTCATATGATGTTCTCATGAATTCTCAAAGAACTTTTTTTTCACATCAAGATCCAAGATGGTCTAACCGGACCAACCAATTATCAAGTTATCAAATCTTGTAAACTTCTGGTTTACACTTTTATGTGTACTGATAGTACTAATATAGTACATATTTGTAATGCAAATATTAGTTTTACTATTTTCTTGATAAGATATTCATTTTACGAATATCCTTTTAATTGGGTAATGCATTATCACTAGGTAGTTTGGTTCCTTCAGGCCACAAAATTAGCTCCCTTTAAAGCTTTATCATATTTTGTACCATATTCCACCCTTCCGGGGACTTGTGATTTGATGCATTCTTAGTAACACAAATTCATAGTGAATATCATCACAAATTGTTATCACGAGTATATAATTTAGTTACTTCAAGCAATCAAACATAAGCTCTTCGGAAGCTTTTTCTGATTTATGTACTCTACCATATAGTTTATATGGAATTTTTCTAACAATCATACTTTACAAAAACATACTAAAAGTAATAAATGAGAATATTTCAAACTTAAGACGAAAATGATGAATTTATCAAGTTAATTGTTCTAGATAAATGTTATAAAATTAAATTATGCATGAAAATAACGTCACAATAAAACATAAAAGAAATAAGAATCATAATACCACAATTCTGAAAAATAAATAAGATTTATTTGGAAATACCATCACTAACTAGGTGATTTTAAATTTATATATGCGTTTTATCATACATTATAATGTACAACAGGTACATTATGTTATCATGACTTTGATAATGCAATTGTGGTGTCATCCTTATTTATAGTTCTCCTTTTACTCCTCTTTTCTCACTTCTAGTGAAAAGATCCAAACAATACATTTACCATATATATAATTATGTTTATAGTTTCATCTACAAATAAATATAAGGGAATGTGAACATAAAAAATTTGCCACCTCAGCGCCCTCTCGCCAGCCCGCACACTTCGGAAGGTTTGATCGGTAAATTCACCCTTTCCGTACTCCTTTTTCCCTGCGCTTGATTATCAAACACAAATCCCTCTCTCTTCAAGCAAGACCTTCACCGCTGCCGAAACAAACAAACCTCTCCGTCGCACCATAAGATGTCGCCCCTGCAGTGCAGACTCCTTCTCCCCACAATTTCCTCCGCTTCCCTTTCTATTCCTTATCCAACAACTAATTCAACCGTCTCTGGTGCTATACCGGTTCGTAGCTCTTCGGCCTCTTCCATCTCTCCGTTCTATCTCCCCATCGTAAGATGAATGAATTCCTTTCATGCATGCACTTATCCGTTGTCATGGATGGTGTGGGGAATTTTGCAACTTTATGGTTAATCACTTTTCCATTGAGTTTTAACGCTTTTGGGGATATGTTTTTGTCTTGAATTGGGCCTTTCCTTCCAGTTGTGTGTGTTCCAAGGCCATGAATGATTGTTGTTCCACCTTGATAATTTGCAGCTCTGTTAAGTTATTTAATTAGGCCATGAATGGTAAGTAGTTAGTACTGTCAATCGGTCGTTAATGTTGGTGTTCGGTGGTTCATGCCACCAGTCTCTGACAATAAGATATTCAAAAGAACAATTAAACTATGACAATATAGTTTTTTCCTGTACAATGTTATTCACATTTACACATTTGTTTGATGTGTCCTTTAGGTTGAAATTGGTTATTTTCTTTCGCTGCGTTTCTTTTAAAATTGTTTTATTGTGTTCCCTGTTTCATCAAATTTCTAATTTCTTTGTTAGGCTCTCAAGTTGGCATATTTAGGTTGATGTGGTTGTCTCCCCTGCTTACTTCAACATTGCTCTCCTATTGATGACTTTTAAATTCCAGTTTTCCTCTTTGTTCACTTATCTACGTACTTTCATTCCATTGTTGTTGTTCATCAACTTAGTTGTTTGATTGTATGGATTGTGTTTCCTGTGGGCATTAGGCCATCGCAGAAATGCCAACTATATATGCTTCTTGAGCTATACATTACTAACCGCTTTTACCTAATTGTCATTTGGCTGTACTCACTTTACCTTTTATAATTGGTTCTTTCATTTTTGCAGAAAGTAATAAGCAACCATATGATGCTCTGATTCTGTCTAACAAGAACCTCAGTGGGTAAGAAATCTAACTTCTCATCCATGCCTATTTAATATAAATAATGTCCATTATTTTATAGAGCCTCAATACCCGTGGTCTGTGGAGTTGAAGCAGACCTAGCTATTTTGTTGTTGCATCCTGCAATTCTTAAAAATAATGCTTTCCTCATATGATGTATGATGTTTGTATGGATCCGCAGGTCATATGTTGGTAGGTGATCTGTATTTGTCTAGATTGTCTTCACCAAATAAGTACTTATTATGTAAGCTATAAGTCAATCAAAATGGAATGAATTAGCAAGAAAGATATACCAATGTTCCTCTCCGTTTGAATTCAATTAGTTAGAATGAACTAGCTAGCACGAATAAGAAATATGCTTTGATTTAGCAATGCAACCGTTTAGATACCAGAATGTTGATAGAAGATAATTCATTGTTCAAGACAACTAATAGTACTCACTATTCAAGACTTGGACATTGTTGAGTATCATAATTGAAACAACGAAATGTGCCAGTACAGAACAAACACTATTACTTATATAATAGTTATTCTAAGGAGACTCAGGTACTTCAAATTTAAAATAAATCAAACAAATAGTACCAAGATTTAAAGCCAAGAAAAAACTCCACCGGCCAATGGCCGGGGCCCTATGCTAGTTCACTTCAGGGAATAGATTGTTTCATTCACTTCTGGGAATGAAAATATCTCAAGTGCAATATCATTTTCATCTTTAATGGAGAATATACCAACTTATATTACAAAAAAAAATATTTCATAATATTGATATTGCATGAGCATATTTGAATTTGCTCTTCTCTTTGATTCTTGGTAGAATAAAGTCTTTTGCGTACAACGGGTACGAAACAAACGCACTTTTCCATTACAATGGTAACATACAAAACCAATATTCTTATTACCATGTTCTTTTCTTTCTTTGCCCTTGAATTCTTCAATTTCCACTTCTGGGGAATATATGGGCTCTTGGAACTTGCATTTTCCACATATCAATGTATGATGGATAAGAATAGGATAACACTGAGAACTGAGAAATTAACTCATCACTTATATTACTTTTCTTGTTAATCCAAATAGATTGACGTGATAAAATATCAATGGATACGAGAAAAGAGTAGCACACATCTTGATATATTTGAATGAGATAATCTCAACACAAATAAGACAATAAGATAAGAAAGGATATAAGATTTACATACCTTGATCATATTGTGATCTTACTTTAATATCTTAGATATTGTGATCTTAGCAATGATAATTTTGGCAGAGCTTCGTGCTGATAACGTGTTATGAAACTAATGAAAATATAAACAAATACAAGAGAAGATTAGAGAGGGAAAGACACAAGAGAAGAGAAGGGAAGAGTTCTTCTTATTCATTCTTCACTTTTGATACAATGGTGTGCTATATTTATAGGCACACTTTGGTAACCACTACATCAATGCATATGAATGAGAGATAATGATGTAGAAATAGGGGGTTACATGTAACTCCCAAGTGAGCATCTAATGTGGTAGGTCATTGATCATCCATATATCAATGTTTACATAATACTCCCCCTTGGATGACCACTAGATTGCATTATGCTATCTCATATTGCCTCGTTAAAAACCTTACCAGGAAAACCCATTGGAGAAAAAACCAGATTTCTTCATACATGATCGTCAGGATCATTTCCTTTAGAAATAGTTTACAACTCATTTCTAATCTTTTATGTCAAGATCGAATTTTGCGGGTTGTACATTAGATTGGATGCCTATAAATTTCATCCATGACCCAACTCACTAACCAGTCCATCCAATAAATTTTGTGGGCTAGTTGTGCCTTTAGGTTTCATCCATGACCCACAAGAGGACATCCTACCTTCCAAATGAAGGGATGTGTCCAAATTTGCTTTGCCACCGACTTTTCATTTGTTTATTGATGACGAAAATCAGCAAGTTTTTTTTTTGTCTCGTTGTCTCGTTGTAAGGGTGAGAATGGACAGAAAGATAGAAAAATGGAAACACATGGATTTTATTTGGATTATAATGGATCATCAAATATCAGTGAAATTTTGATAGATTTGATGAATCCGTCCATCCACATTAAGAGATTTTCATGATCCATCATAATAAAAAAATCTGGGTCACCAATTAATATTTAAATTTTAGCAATTCCTACCCATCAAAACCGTTGACTAGTCATCAATTTATGTTGCAGTTTACTTTGATTCAGAATTATGCAAATTAGTTCGTTACGTAGGCAGTGATAATAGACCCGACAAATTCATGAAATAAAAACGCATAACAGGGTCTAGTGATTCATCATGAAGCTGCTTCGATTCAAGACTCAACACGGGCAAAGAAGATGTTCATGAACTAAGAACAATGATTATGATGGTTATCTTAAAGTTACATTTGGACTTTGGATTGAAGTTGGTCTAACAAGAGTAAATGTTGTCATATATGAAACCCAAAAAAAGAATAGGTTGCTTCAAGTTCACTAAATTATGCCACATATATAAGGGGAAATGAATATTTAAGAAAGAGGTACGAGACCAATGGATTGGACCATCAGTCCATCGTAAAAGTCTACCTCCAACGTTCTCTTACATTCCATACAAGTAAGGTGATATCCAGTCAGTTGATTTGTGAATAAACTATTAACCAGTTACAAGGTAGCAATGTGATTATCGATAACCTCAAATAACTTCTAGTGTAAGCAGTAACCGAATAGTTGATCATCGATTAAATAAAAAACCGACCATGCATAACTATTTTTGTTTCTATCCTCAAAAAGACTACGTTCATTTCCCACGAAACCACTTGACTTCGAACAAACAATTAACCATGTGAACTATGTTTCATCACTACACATGTATAAACACAGATACCAAATCAAAACTTTTAACATAGTGAATAACTGAATATACATAGTTAGTTAGTTACGATATAATATTTTATAAATACATCCTAGTTTGACTAACCAGTTTAAGTATGTAACAGTTTTGGCAGTCATATATGTAAATATATATCCTACTCGCACAAATTTTACACACCATAGCATAAAATCAGCTGATCTAAGAGTACTTCTTTCTACGGGCTGATCATATAACCCTTGCACACTGAAAATGCTCAATTTTCTTTCCCATCCTTATCATCATCTGGGTTAAGAATGCATGTAGCAATCAATTCATTTCATAGTGAACTAATGAATTCATCAATACCCCATAGAGAATTGGCGTTCGTATCTTCTCTTCAAGAACTTGCCTACATCCGAAAAGCTCCTGAACCCGTTGCCGTTGTTATGGTAATTACCATTATTCTTCTCGCCGCAGTACTCCTTGTTCTTCTTGGGAGAAGTGGTCAGCATCATCATCTTGTCGCAAAATCCGCCAACAAGCCCTTGCTGATCGGACGGCTTCCGATCGTCGTGATCACCACCGACGTCCAAAAGGGAGCCCTTTTCCTGAACTGCGTCGCCGCAGCAATCCCAGCGGTGGCTCCGCAATCGCAGAGTCTTCTTGATCACCGGATGATCATTGCCATTATGAGTATCTTCACGACTTTCATTGTCGATGTTTTTATTGTTAACGTTGTCATCGGGTAATTCGACCGCTGCGGCGTCGTCGTCTAGATCGTTGGTGGTGAGGGCGAGGTTCTCGAGGCGGCAGATGTCCTCGAAGGTGGAGCCCGCGGTGGTGAAGGAGGCGTTGGAGACCGCGGAGGACGGCGTGGCCGCGGAAGACGTCGGAGAGGCGGCGGCGGCGGAAGAAGGAGTGGAGCTGCCGAAGCCTTGGATTTCCTTGGAGATCTTGAGGGCTTTGAGGCGTGCTTCTCTCAGGGCGGTCCCGCCGCCACGGAGCAGGGCGAGGATGCTGGCGGATCTCTTGTGCATTTTGGCTCCCCAGTCGAACCTGTACGTGACGTGACATTCATAGTTTACGTATGATTCATCATTCTGAAGAGCTTAGTAGCGGCATGGAAAGAAGTTTGATTTACCCTTTGTCGTCAATGAATTGGAACGTGCCAAGGTCTTCAATGATGTCGATGTCGTTGTGGAATTCTTCGGCGAGTTCCTCAGGACCATGGGTCATTAGGAACTCGAGAAGGACCAACGTCTTGTAGGATTGCCTCCATTGCTTCCAATCTACCGTATCCAGCCTGCAGATTCATGTGTACGAACACGTTCGTTGCCGGTTGGTGATACATATAAGATCAATGAAAGCAACTGATTCTGCATACTAGTGGTTTTCTTTTTCCAAAATACTATTACTTACACTAAAAATTCACACAACACAATACTTATACTACAATTTTCCAAAATACTAGAGTTTATTTTGGTTCGCTGTAGTGTCAAGTGATCTAGATGGTGTTCGCAGGACAACTGGGCGATCTACCCAAAATATCAACAAACCTAAGCAAACTAAGCCCAGACTGAGGCATACAGGAGCGATCCACCAGATCACTGATGAGCTCAGTGATCTTGCCTCAAACATCTTTAAGCAAATCAGCGATCTCTACACCTAACATATGTGGAAACTTCAAACGACTTTACGCTCCGTTATCTACACCTAACTGATCCCATTTGCCGCAATCTAGAGTGGTTCGCTCCGGTCTCCAGCGACCAGATACCTAGTTCGCTTGATACTCGAGCGAACCACATCAAACTTGTGTATTTTGGTAATTTTTAGTATGTGGTATTCTGGGATTTTTTTTTTGTTTACATAAAGTTCAGTATTTTGGGGAAAATCCATATACTTCGAGCGTATGTACGTACCTTTTGTGAAGAATGTCGATGATTCTCCAATAAGCATCGACACCAAACGAAGCGACGGCGATTTGAGTCATGGTTTTAGCATCAGGACCCCATGGGTCGCTGTTTGTTGCTTCCTCAGTCAGCCTGACCACAAAGATGAACATATATAACAATCACGACCAAACTCGTCGTGTCAAAAGAAAGAGCATACATTGGC